GGAAGAAGGGTTGAAGGGAGGGGAGGGGAATGGGAAAAAAAGAAGCAAGATATATCAAGTACAGGTACAAATTCCCTATGATGAATGCTACTATCATTATGTATATCTAAAACGTACCAATAAAAAAAGAAAAAATATACCTTATTCCATTCTTAATAGGATGCAATCAATACTTAAGATCACGTTTTAACTGGGTATAATCCCAACTACTTGGGAGACTGAGAAAGGAGGATCACTGAGTCCAAGGTCAGCCTGAAGATACTGTTTCAAAATAAAATTTTAAAAAATGGGCCAGGGATATAGCTCAGTGATATAGCACTTGTCTAGCATGCTGAAGCCCTGGTTCCAATCCCCAGCAGTACCACTACCATCATCACAACAACAAACAAACAAAAATTCTATGTTTTTATTAATTCTAATAGAAAGAATAGAATTAGACAGATGAGACTAATATTTTGAGATCAGGTCTATGTATTCCAGCCTGGCCTTGAAGTCACTATATAATTCAGGCTGGCCTTGAACTTGATATTTTCCTGCCTCAGGCTCCAGAGTGCTAGGATTACACTGTGTGCCACCACATCTAGCTATTTTTTTATTTTTATTTTTTAGGTACTGGGGATCGAACTCAGGACCTTGCGCTTGTGAGGCAGGTGGCGGCACTGAACTAAATCCCCGGCCCTATTTTTTTTAAAACTAATGCTTTTGAGGTAGATTTAAATATATCTCAATAAGGAATACTTTTTTTTTCTTCTCTCTCTTTTTTTTTTGGTACCAGGGATTGAACTCAGGTCCTTGCACTTGCGCAGCAGGCGGTGAGACCACTGAGCTAAATCCCCGGCCCAGGAATACTTTTTTTTAAAGACAGGTCTCCTTGTGGCCTGGAACTCACAGCAATCTTCCTGCCTCAGCCTCTCAAGTGCTGTGATAGGAATACTTTGAAGAATTATGACTAAAAAACAATAAAAATAAGCTCATAAATTCTATTTTGGGAAATATGATAAATCAGTCATCTAGACAAACTCTTAGCATAGACTATGTAAGATAAAAGGCAAGCATGTAGAATGTATGGCTGAACTAGCAGGACAGCAAGAGCTATCCTTCAAGGACCAAAACAACAGGTAAGCAGGAATCCTGGGAGGTATTAGAGGGCAGATCCCCTAGGGCACCTTAAGAACATCTGCATATCCTGGCTGGTCTAAAGTCAGATGTCTAAAGCTTAGGCAGAAGTAAGAGATGTCTATGCAAAGACCTTTGAAAGGCAGTACCTTCAGTGGATGAAGTAGAAAAAACTCCATCCCAGACAAATTATGGGGCTACATCTTTCTTAGACTTGGTTCTAATAGGAAGGAAAAGAAGAAAAATGTCACTCCTGAAGGCTATGTTCCTTTCTTAAGACTTGGTTCTAGTAGAAGGGAAAAAAGAAGAAAAATGTCACCTCTAATAATTCCTAAATATAGAGTTTCACTTGGTGAAATAGACAATATATTTCCAAAATAGCTACTGTAGTAGTTCTTGTCCCACATGTGCTTCAGGATCCTTGATGCTCCCATTCAGTAGGTGGAGCTATTTCTTTCCTTGGACTGGGATATGACCTGTGAATGCCTCCAGAGGAAGAATAGAGTAGAAGTAACATTGTATGATTTCTCAGGACAGGTCATGAAAGACAGTATGGCTAACACCAGTAGAGATTCTGTCTCAGGATACTTGCCCCAGAACCCAGCCACCACCTTGAGGAAGCCCAAGCCACAAGGCTACTTGAGTATATCAAATGTAAAGGTTCTGGTTGACATATCTAACTAATCCCCAGCTGACAACTATGTAAGTAAATGAATTTTGAGGGTTTTTTTTTTGTACTGGGGATTGAACTCGGGGCCTTGCACTTGCACAGCAGGTGGCCAAACCACTGAGCTAAATCCCCGGCCCAGTAAATGAATTTTTGAAGTGATTCTAGTTCACAGTCTTTGGGTCCAACAACTAAGGTATTAAATATTGTGAGGCAGAGACACTATGTTCTGCCTGAAACCGTAAGAAAGAATTATTGTTTTGAGATAATTTGTTATGTAGAATTAGATAACTAATATGCTTTCATTTGGACCCTGAATTCACACTGCCTCTGTGGTCTGAAAAATCTCAATCTTAAAATTTTAGAGTCATCTGAGGTAGATAATGTCTTTTTTTGGTACCGGGGATCGAACTTGGTCCTTGTGCTTGCGAGGCAGGTGGCAAAACCACTGAGCTAAATCCCCAGCCCTGATAATGTCTTTTTTAGCTGCTTCACTGAAACAAAAGTAAATCATCAAACTGTTACAATGAATATGGTCCTAAGAAATATGTGCTTATATTTTAAAAAATTACAAAACACACATGGAAAGAAGTCACCCAGAATGAATAATCAGAACAAAGAGTAGAATCAGACAGACTACAGAAATTGTAATTATTAGAGCTGTCTTTAATATACTTAAATAAAAGGTGATATAAGAGTAACAAACTATAATATTTGCAACAGGAACCTGCAGACATGAGCAACAGATTAAAGGACAAAATTATATAATCATTATCTCTATATGTAAAACTTCAGGTATAAAACTATTGACAGCTGAGCTGGTGGTGCCAACCTGTAATCCCCGCTACTCTGGAGGCAAAGGCAGAAGGATCACAAATTTGAGGCCAGTCTGGACATAGTAAGCCCCTGTCTCTTATAGGAAAATTATGGAGGTTGGGAGTGTAGCTCACATGTCCTGGGTTGGATCCACAGCACCAAAGCCAAAACAACAAAAAAATGAAAGAAGAACAATATAAATGAGACATATCATGAAATGATTAGGGGGAAAGACTTTATATGGTAAATGTTGTTTCCTTATATTAACAGTCAGCAAAGGAAGTGGTTGTGGTGGCACACTTCCAGTATTCAGAAGGCTGAGGCAGGAGCATCACTGAAAGTTTGAGGCTACATAGTAAGTTCAAGGCCAGCTGGACTACATAGTGAGACTTTGTCTCAAAAAAAGTATCAATGAGGGCTGGGAATTTAGCTCAGTGGTTTCGCCACCTGCTGTGCAAGTGCAAGGACCAGAGTTTGATCCCTGGTACCAAAAAAAAAAAAAAAAAGTCAATGAAATTCCAATAAAAATATTAAGCAAAGTTTTTCTTTGAACATGACCAAGCTAATTCTAAAATATATGAGTGTATTTAGAAGAAAAGGTCAAAAACAGCAAACATACCTTGAACAATCAGAGATCTAGTCACAGCAGAGCTAGAAAAGCTTAAGTAATTAGGATATGGATGTCAGACTGACTGTAGCAGAATATAGACAAGAAATACATGGAAATCTGATATATGAGCTGGCAGTGCATCTGGAGGGAAAGTGATGAATTGTTTTCCAAACCTCAATCTTCCCTTCAAAAGCATTTTTTACACTGCTATGGAATGATCCTTTTAAAATAGAACTGATTGTTACTTCACCTAAGCTATTCAATGACATCTTACTCTCTAGGCTTGCCAAGTGTTTTACCTCTGAGGTATATCATAGTCCCTATGTTCCTGTTTTTTACATTACACTGTTAACTCATGAGTATGGGGAATGTTTAATCTATACATTTTTAAACAAGTTCAGAATTTTTTTGTTTTTGTTTTTGGTACCAGGGATCGAACTTGGGATCTTGCACTTGCCAGGCAGGTGGCAGAACCAGTGAGCTAAATCCCTGGCCCACAAGATCAGAATTTTAAAAATAATTTTAGTGCCAGGAATGTGATACTGGGGATCAAACCCAGGGCCTTACACATGCAGGGCAAATGCTGTACAACTGAGCTACAACTCCAGCCTCATGCATATATTTTTTATTAGAAACAGCTGGGCGTGGTGGTACATGCCTATAATCCTAGCACTCTGGAGGCTGTAAATGTAAATTGGTTGTGTTTTTGGGAATGTGATTTGCATACAAAGCCTTACAATGGCCAATTTAGAAAGCAATCCTAATGAAATGGGCATAAAATAAGGCCTAGCATAAAGGTTAAATAAGTATATGTTAAATAAAAAAGTAATGTCAAGTAAAAAAATGTAATTTTTTTTTTTTGGTACCAGGGATTGAACTCAGGACCTTGCGATTGGGAGGCAGGCAGCAGAACCACTGAGCTAAATCCTCAGCCCCCCAAAAATGTAATTTTATAAAATGTGATTTCTGTGAAAAATCTCTGTAGAAAAAGAATTGGAATGACATATAAGCCAATGGGGAAAGAGGTCATGGGCAATTTTAAAAAACAGCTCTATTGAGGTATAACTTGACATTCTATAAAATTCACCCATTATATGTGTACAGTTCAATTGCTTCATTTATACAGTTGTGAATTATCACCATAATTAAGCGTCGCAGTCATTTTTTTTCTCGTTTAATCTTTTCTGGAGCGTAACACAAGACCTATTCTGTGAAAGGCGCCTTCAATGAAAGGTGGGTGGAGGGAAACTAAAAGTATAAAATTACTTTCTAACCATCTGTGTCAACCTCTCCAATTTGGTGCATGCATCTTTCTAGCACAAATTAGATTTTAAAGCAACAATAAGGTTCTTTGCTACCATGAGAAGACAGCAGGCACAATACGCATTGATTGTATTTGGTGTAGTACATATTAAGATTATTATTCTTTTTTTTTTTTAAAGATCATTGTTCTTGATCGTTTTGCAAAAAGGTTCCACAGAATAATGTATACAGTCGCAGTTCTCAATGGAAATGCAAGTACAATATGAAACCAATGGCGAGCAATTACTTTTCTGCTCCTCAGTCTTCCTAGTGACAGTGAAGTACGCACGCTGCAGGTGTTTCCCAGTCCACCTAGGAAGCTGACCAATCTTACTCGCAGCTTGTGAGAAATCCAGAGAAAGGACCTTCGGAGTATATTCACTTAACTCCCTACAACAGAAAACCCTTCGGGAAGAAGTCGACTGAGAGCGTTTAACACACAAATCCCTGCAGAGTCCCGGTTCCCAGTGCCCATCAAAGGCTTCCTACCTGCCGAGAAGCAGAGCAGGGACACCTGGTGTTTCAGACGGACCAAGCCTAGCACCGTGGGAGCAAAGAACATGGCCTCATCGTCTGGGTGCGCAATCATTAGTAGGGTCTGGCTCCCAGCTCCCAGCAGACCAGCTTTCTCCCGAGTTCTCTTTAGTTTTGAGGAGTCCCAAACCCAAAGAAGGGCCCATATCAGGACCGCAGTTGTCATACACAAGAGGCCCACCACTTCCATGCCGGGTAAGTGGCACTGCGCCTGCGTAGTAGAGAAGGCTGGCGCAAGCTCTAGCTCCCGTAGGAAAACTGCACCCGCAGAAACTGCGTTCCGGGTTTAAGTGTCCCGTGCCTTGGGATTTTAAAAGTAGGGTTTGTTGTCTAACAGGGAAGTTTCCCAACTAACGGTGCTGTCTCCCTCTTTAGCAGCGATTACAAATCTTGTGTCTTCGCTGCTTCAGAGCAGAGTCGAAGCCCGTGCCGTTCAATTTAAGACCGTTGTCCGACCTTATCGAATAATGTGCTTTTAATGTGCTTAAAAATAAACTCCTACAACTTGTAGAAAAGAGCTTCTTCCTCTCAAGTAATTTTCTCATCTTTCAAAACCCTACTTTTTCTAATTATATGGTTAGCCTGTTAACCAGATTAGTTTTGCAAAACAGCCTAATACGCCACTTTGTCTTTCCTTTTCAGTTTTACAGTATGGGGTTACGGGTAACCGTCCAATCATTTCACTAGAAGAGGCCAGTAAGGTTGCAAGAGTCCACTTCGTAGTCGTGAGGATACAGGTCCGTTTAAGAGTTCTTACAGATTAAGGAGTAACATCTTGGACAAAAAGCCTCGCTCGGTATTTCGGCGAGGACTTGGTGCCAAAGTACCGGGTAAGTCGAAGAGCACCGCCGCCACGTGGTGTCTGGTTCCCTCCACGCAGCTCTCTGGCGGGTGGGGGCCGCTGCCGTCCCGCTGTGCCACTAAGGGGTCGCAAGCTAAAAGCACAGCCAGCCACCCTGCTCTTTCCCACGCCCGAAGGAGGAAGGCCGCGGGATCGCGGCAGTCGGCCAGCTCGCGGCGGGCACAGCAGGCCTGTGTGCGATGGCAGTCGTGCCGGGTCCCGCAGCGGACGGTGCTGCCTCGGTCCATGTGCTAGCGAGGGGACCACCGCCGACAGGCTGAGGAGACATTTGAAATAACCAGACGCAGGGTGACCCAGGAAACTCGGCCAAAGTAGGAGCTACGTTCGACCAGAGGAGGGAGTCGGTCTCCCAACCATCCGGAAGGAGGAGGAGCTCGCGACGGAGCCGCCTAAGCCCCGGCCGCCTGGGCCAGGGGGAGGGAGAGGGGGTTGAGTCAAGATGGCGGCCAAGGTGGCGAAGCTGCAGCCCCGGCGGCGGCGGCGGCGGCTGGAGTGAGCGCTAGCTCGCAGCGCTGAGCGCGGTCCCAGTGTAGGACCGCGCGCCGGGCCGCGTCCTGTTCCTCAGGCCCGAGGGCGCTCCGACTCCCACGTTCCGCCAGCTCCCTGGTGAGTAGGCCCGGGCACCCGCAGCCCCGGCCTTCGGGCTCCTGCTCGCCTGGGGCTTCCGAGGACTCCCAGTATACCCGCCGCAGGCGCGGCTTCTCGGGCGGGCGAGGGGCGTCGCGGGCCCAGCCAGGTTGGGACCTGCCCAGCCTTCCGGCCTCTTTCTCTCGGCCGCCGCGGGGTGAGTCGGGCTCGACGCGGAGCTCGGGCTGAACGGGAGAAGGCTTATGGAGTTTGGAGGAAGAATGGGCCGAGGCCGGGTGGGAGCCAACCCTGAGGTGTCCTGTGGGGAAGGGGCGTGCGGAGCCTGCAGGGCAGGCCGTGGGAATTCGAGGCCCGGGTCCCCGGGTGCGGCTGGAGCAGATGGCGGGCCTTGGGGTCACTCTGAGGTGGAGTTGGTGGCCGTCTTGAGAGTGTAGAAAGGGTTACGGAGGGTGACAGCGACGAGCAAGTGTGTGAAGAGCAAACTAGTTACCTTTCTAACTAGGCCACTTCAGGATGTAATAATGGCGAAGGGTGGGTAGTGGTGGAGAGGGGAAAGATCCAAACTGTACCTTCCGCCGTCTGTTATTGGTGTTTTCCTGCCCCAGACGGGCGAATGCACCTCGTTTTGGGGCGTAGAGGGATTTTAGAAACTAAATAAGAAATGAGCCTTAACATTAAATTAACTGGATCAGTAATCATATATTAGAGGAGTGGATGAGAGTAACTGATACTTATGAAAAGTATTTGCTCGGGAAATGTCAGGGTTCCATGACGTAGTGTCTCTTCAACAGAGTTAACCTTGGAAAGTAGTAGTATGGGTAATTCTAATCTTTGGGATTAGTATATTCACCTGCATCAATTTGCTTGCCTAATTATATCCTAATTATATCGAAATTTACATTCCTTGTATGCACCCGGGTGAGGCAGTGATGGGAAGCTGAACATGGCAGTGTGCAAAGAGCAACAGGCCTGGGATTTTAAAATGCCTGCACATATTCATTCATTTGTTCACCATATCTTGATCAATAGCTGTTGACGATTCTGGGTCTCTTGTGATTATGAATAACTGAAGAGTTGTTGGCATTGATGTATTTAATTTTTAATAGATTTTTGGAAAGGTTTTTATGTACTCCTCCATAAAAATATTTATTAAGTGAACCAATTTGTGCTTGTCTGGGCTCAGGATCAGACTCATTTTAGAATCTTATGTAGATATAGGTAAAACTTACAGAAGAAATGACCACAAGTTGCTAGAGAGAAATCTTATTTTTTTAATTGATTTTTTATTTTAAATTTTTTTTTAAATCTTATTTTTTACTCCATTAAGATGTAATGGGGATTTGTTTATGTTAATATTTAAAGTTCCCAGTTGCTTTGCCTTGCTTTAGGCACATCAGTTAATGAAAATCAAGGTACCTATATCACACACTAGAAGTGATTCTTTGCAATGCCAAACACTTTTACAAAAAACTTGCCATATGTTGAATTACAACCCCAGAGAAAATGTAATATACTGAGTTCTGATTCTTCCTGTATCTGTGACATTTTGGAGCATGATCAACCTTTCTGTGCTTCAGTTTCCTCATCTTTAATGTTAGGAAAACATTTGCCCTTCTAGGGTTGGCTGTTATGAGTCTAAAGGGAGTTAATAGGAAATTGCTTTAAACAATTGAAAGTGTCCTTTCTATGAGGTGGTAACAGTTCTGCCTTGATCCAGTAATGTTTATCTGCAAATCTCTCATTGGTGGTTGCACTTTCCACACTGTATTGTAGGTATTTATGTACCTGTTTATCTCTTCTGGAAGGCAGGATAGGCCCTTCTCTGATTTTATCTTTATGTGTAAGGCACCAAGTAGGGGTGTGTGTGTGTGTGTGTGTGTGTGTGTGTGTGTGTGTGTGTAGTATATTGCCACTGCAAATTTTTGTTGAACAAATAAATATTGGATTCTAGTAAGCAAAATGTATTCACATTACAGCATATCAGAATACACCTGTTATCTGCAGTTACATATCTATATAGCTGTGGTTTTCTCTGTGGCTTCTGGAGGAATGTAAATTTTTAACTGAATGTCTTGTTGGATTTTAAGAAATACAGTAAAACTTGTTTGGACTGTCCTTGAAATTAAAAAAAAAGGGGGGGGCTCAAAATGCCCGAAATTATGTTTCTTTGTATCTAATTGAGTAAAAATTTGTACCCCAGCTAGGTGAGTTTAGATTATTTAGATGTCGAAAGCATTTTAAAAATTGTGAAATTGTGAGTTTCTTGCTGCTATAGAAAGCAAAGGTCTTTGGACAGAACTAGAATTGATGTAGGTGAATTTTAGGGTGTTACTCAGTGTTTTGTGTTTGATTTTGTTATCCAGTTTAATTGTATTTTGTGATTTACTTTAGTTGTAATTTAAAATTCTTAATAATGTCTGAAAATGATAGCACTGTCACATATTTAGTTACTTCCGTCTGCATTTATTTATTGTCTGTTTTTTCTTTTTGGTACCAGGGATCGAACTCAGGACCTTGTGCTTGCGAGGCAGGCACCGGAACCACTGAGCTAAATCCCCAGCCCTGCGTTTATTTATTGATTGATGTGATTTTGCTGTTTCCCAGGCTGGCCTGGGTTCACGTTGGTACAGATCTCAGGCCTCAGCCTCCAGGGTAGGTAGAACTACTGGTTCATACCACGCACGGCACCTGGCCCCATCTGCTATTTTACTTCAAATACTCGATTTTACTAGAATATGATACAAAGCAAGTAGTAAAGGTTAATCAATTTATTATGTGTAGATTTGCCTATAGATTAGAGCTTCATGTGTTTCTGGTCATTCACTTGTTCAACTAGATGCCTTTTATATTTAGGACACAGTACTAAAAGCTGTAAAGGCGTGAAGGGTAGTTGAGCAGAGCAATCATTTATATACACAAATAACTCAGTTTCAGATTGCCTGATGCTTTTTCGTCTTCAGGTTTGAGGATACCAAAGGCAGTTTTTTTTTTTGTACCGGGGATTGAACTTGGGACCTTGCACTTGTGAGGCAGGTGGCTGAACCACTGAGCTAAATCCCTGGCCCCCAAAGATAATTTTTAAAAAAAATTATTTTATTGGTACATTTTAGGTATACAATACGTTTACATTTGATTGGGTGCTTGTACCCCAAAGGCAATTTTGATGGTTAGGAAAACGTTTTTCTATCAGAACTTCTTACAGGTTTTGACAGACTATGAGAAGTTTTGTAATATAGCAGTAACTGCCTGGATGAAGCATCTTTTTTATTTTGATATTTTTGTGGTAGTGTGTTTCTTGAACATTTTTACTTATCTTCTACCATTTTTGCTACCCCAGGAGCTTGTTGGTCAGAATGTTACTTGGATTGTCTTCAAGGTACCCAACTCTGGGCCGGAGATTTAGCTCAGTGGTTTCGCCGCCTGCCTCACAAGTGCAAGGACCTGAGTTCGATCCCTGGTACCAAAAAAAAAAAAAA